GTGTGTGGGGGGGAGATTTGGGGAAGGAACAGCTTTGGGAGTGGAGATAGTTTGGTGATAGATGATTTTTCTCTGTGTTAAATTTGAGATGGCTTTAAAAAATCCGATTGGAGTTGTTAAATAGTGGCTACATATGGGAGTCTAATGCTTAGGAAGTGCTCTGAATTGTAGGTATAGAGTAAGAGTAGGAAGTCATCACTATATGGATGGTATTTTAAAGCCATGGGATTGGATGACATTGATTGGTGATAGAGACTAGATAGAGGTTTTAGAAATATTTAGAAAAATAATAGAGGAGAAGGAGCCCATAAAGGAAATTGAGAAGGCGTATGAGTGAAATGATAAAAACTGCATTAGTGTGTATCACTGAAGTCTAGAGAAAACGTGTTTCAAGAAGGAAAGTGATTAAACCATCACAAATGCTGCTATTTGATGGAGTAAGATGAATGCTAACTATTGAGAGGTGAGGAAGTGGAAAGGAGTTTTGCTAGGAAGGGGAGAAGAGAAATAGGATGGTTGGTACCTGGAGGGCAATGTGTATGTAAGGACAGGTTTCTTACAGTCATGCTTATATACCTGTAAGAATGATTTAGTAGAGTGGGAGGAATGTATGATGCAGAGGAGGGGTAAGAGGCAATGATTGCAGGAGTCAAGTTCTTGAGACAACCAAGGATTGACTGTAATTAAGAGCTTGAAGTATTTTTCCACTACAGAAGGGCGAGTAGAGCAGAAGTTAGAGGTGCAAGTAGGTTGTTTGATTTAAGTGGGAAAAGAGGAAATACTTTTTTTTCTGTGATCAGTAGCTGAGTGAGGGGGTGGACATTTGAGGACAGGAGAAAGTAAGGTTTTTACGTACAGTTATTTTGGAGAATACAAAGTGATTTTTTTGGTGGTGGTGGTAGTCGTGGGGACATAGATTTAGTAGTATTATGTTGTGATATTTATTAAGTACCCAACTTTGAATAGTGGTTATATAGCCCACCCGAGTCTAGCCGGCACAACTATGTGACTTTTCTCCAGCAGTGTCAGCTTGTTGGGTATAGTATTTCGAGTCACGTTTATCCCAAATTGAGTTTTTCTAGATTAATTTAATTGAGAAAGAAAAGTTCAAAGGGCTTGGAATTCAGTTCTTCATTTCATGATGATAATTCTATGATGAATACTGTCAAACACTTAAATATTTTTGAATGAATAGGAAGCGAAGTTTTGGATTTTTCTAGAAAATACTCATCTAACATTGGGGCCATATTAGTACAATTGGATTACTGTGTGGTTTATGTATTTTAATATCTAATTTACAAATAAATTTATTTCTGGGTTTGTAATTCTTTTTCTGTTTCTTAGAAGTAAATCTGGTATAATCTTCATCCTTTTTTTTTTTTTTTTTT